TTTTATATTTTTGAAAAAATATTTTCATTTACAAAACATTTTGAAAAAAATTATTTAATACCAAAAATATTTTTTTAAAAATTTTAAAAAATTTTTTTGAAAATAATATTAAATTCAATACGTTTTTTTTTAATAATTCATTATATCAATATTTTTTATAAAAAAAATATTGAAAAAATTTTTACAAATTTTTTTCTCTATAATTTTCAAAAATATTTTGAAAATAATTTTTAATTTAATTTAATTGATTTTTTTTGAAAATAATATTAAACATGCATTTGTCATAAATTTTTAAAAAATAATTTGTTAACAACAATACATTTTTCTAAAAATTTTATTACCAGCAATACATTTTTTTAAAAAAAATATTACCATTAAAACGTTTTTTAAAATAATTTTTTTCAGCTATATTAATGATTTTGATTGGTTTTTGTTTTACTTCCAATTATAAATAGATTTTATGATTAAAAACAAAAATATTACCAACATTTTTTTTAAAATTATAAAATTATTTTATTCAATCTAATTAAAAAAACTTATTTGGCATTTTTTTGCAATTTCACTGAGCTTTTTTTTGTTGTAATTTTCAAATGTGGAATCAAAAATTTTTTTTTTTATTTTCAACTTTCATAAAAGTTTTATAATAACAAAATAAATAAATAAAATAAATTAATAAAATTAATGTTGTTGTTTAAAATAATTTAATGATCCAATATTGCAATGATATTAACCAACTTTATCATATTTGAATGAAAATCAAATATGCCATAGATACTAATTCTAAAATATTATCTGTGAGAAGTTTATTAAATTTTATAAAATCTGTAAATGTTTTTATTTAACAAATTGATATTTTCCAATATTAAAACAAAACAACCAACCAACACTCATTAACCATTATGTGTCTTATTTTAAACTTTAGAAATTTTTTTGGAAATTAAAAAAAATTATTATTTTTTTTATAGATTTTGAATATAAAAATTTAAGTTTTATTTTTCAATTTTTTTTTTTTTAAAAAAAAATGAAAATGCGTATAATTTTTTTTTTCAAACATGGTTCTAAAAGGATCTTTTTCCTATAATAAATATTTAATATATGTACATCGGTTCAATTTCTATTGAGGGCACATTTTTAGAAAATATGACTTTTGATATTTATATTTTGAAAATTTTAATTTTATTTTAAAATAACAGTGAATCTATTTCAAACATAATTTGCAATCAAAATATAATGTTTATAGAAGCAAAAAAAACATATAATTAAAAAACATTTTGAATTAATTAAAAATTAATTTTTTAATATTTTTTTCAAATTTATCAACTAAAAATTTATGCTTCAGGTATGAAACAAAGTTAGCAAAATTGAAGAAAAATGAAAATAACTTCCTGAGCTAACAGTAAATAAAAACTTATAAAAGGAAAAGTTTTATAAAAATCAAGAAAAAAATTTAATATTAAATTAATTAAATTTCCATTTTTAATTCATTTTTTTTAATAAGATTAATTGATCTCTTATATTTTAGGCATTTTATTTCATATTTAAAAAAAAAAACAAGGATATTTAATTAATTTACTAAACATAACACTTAAATTATTAATAAGGAATACTGTTGATATTAAAAATGCATTAATTGCTTTATTTATATATATATATATATATATATATATTTTTTAACAAAATATACATTATTTTTTTATATATAATTTATTTAAGTCATTTGTTTTTTTTTTTTTATTTTTTATATAAACAGTTTTTAATTACATTTACTGGCCTGAATGTTTTTTAAATTTTTTAAAAAAAGTATGTATATATTTCTACAGGAAAATTGAACAAAAAGAATAATTTTGCCATTGCTTGATCTGATATGCTAAAAATATTTTATGCCACAAAGAATGTCTACCATTTTTTGAGAAATTACTGATTATAAAAACACAATCCTTTGACAATTATCAGTTGATCATTTCTGCTCACAAGATATATTAGAATAATATAAAAATGACAACATTTATAAAAATGGCTGTTTTCATTAGGGTTACTGTTGAATTTTTTTGATAGGGCCATAAATAAAGACATTTTAATTATTTATTGAGTTAAACAAATATATTAATATAACAGTAATTTAAAAAGTAAAACAAAAATTAATACAAATTAAAATGTTTGATCCGACTGTCAAAGCTGACTGCTGAAAATTCCCTTTCCAAAAAAGGCAGTACCTGCTCCTTTTTTATAGCTGGGAAGTCCATTATGTTTTATATTTCTTACCATAGCAGTTAGAGATTCACTTCCTGTTGGATTACATTTTTTTTTTTACAAAAATTTATCAAACATTCAGGGCTTTTAAATAAAATTAATATTTTTGATAAAAATATGGAGCATTTACTTAAATAAATTATATCTATAAAAATAACATATAAACAGAAAATATATTAAATAATTGTTGAATGTAATCCATTTCATTTTATATATATATATATATATATATATATATATATATATATAAATATATATATATACATCAGAAAAATCCTTAAAATAAGTGAGAAGTGCATGAAAAGAAACTATTAGAATGGAACTTAAATTTACATTTTTTGACAGTGAAACATTGAGACATAGTTGCCAGTCTTGTACTGCATCTAAATTAATGCAGTTGAGGTGTCAAGGAGCTTCTTAGAACAACTGCCATGATGGTATTTATAGACGATGCATAGAGAAGCCATGTCACAATGAAGTTGTGATACCAGATCAGGGCTTATAACATAGCAGACCTTTCTTTGGATTTTCTGAAAAAAAAAAAAATGGTCAGTTCCTTGTATTGTTCTAGTAAGTACCTGATTCCTCCTGCTATCCTTTAGTTTTACATTATGCCAGATCAGGCCAAAAATGGAATACTTTTGTCATATATGGAAAGGAACTGCCCAGTCTTCACTTTCCAGTCTTGATAGAATCCAAAAGTGTCTCCGTGTTCTTGTGGGTGACTAAAATTATTGCCCTACAACCCCTTTTTTCATAGACAAAATATCTTGCTGGTCTATCACTATTTCCATGTTAAGTGTTCAGATGAACTACATTCCTTAGTTCTACTAGCTCTAACATTTTTATGGCTAAGACATGCCATTGCTACGCACATTGTAGTGAACCACCCTCATTCCCTTCGTATTCCATTGGTGAGATGTAAGTGCCACTCTAGCAATTTCTTCCTGCAAACTGCCATTTTATGGAACTGACTCCCAAGAGGATGCTTCCTCGATCACTACAATCTTAATCTGTTGCAATCTAGGTTGTATTTCTCACCAGAATCTCTTACATATTTATAAGTCTAGCATTCAATTGAATATTGCTGCCAGACCTGGCCCAATGCTTCTTCTATGCAATTTAGAGATTCTTGATAAAATACAAAGAAGAATCTGCAATGTTATTGATCCTGACCTGGCATCTCAGCTTCAGTCACTTTCCCACTGTCATAATGTAGTTCCCTATAACTCTTCTATAAATATTTTCATAGTAATTGTTTTGATGAACTTTTCTGTTTTAAATGTTATTTTATTCCCCTTCCCACCAAAAGACAAATTGTACATATGGAAATTAGTTAGGACCACATAGAGACTTTGAGGTATTAGGGTGGCTGTAGTAAGAAGGCGTTTTGGCGTAAGGAATATTGTGGTATATTTGGGCCAGTCATCGTTGCTAGTTAAGTTTAAGATTGAAGACCAGAATTCTCCTATTCCATATTTTAGGCTTGTGCTACATTTTTGTGTTATACAAAATAAATATTACTTTTCTCTATGGTACCTAGACTTTATGAATTTAAATGCAGTGCTAGATTGGCGGTAAGGTTCCATCATTTTAGAGTTGAAATGGTTAGATGTAGCTGTAAATTCTATGTGAACTGTTTACACTTCTCGCTTATGGAGCTCTCTTCTGGCTTTTTGTTTTCCAGTCAATTTTGATCTTCAAAAATTTAAATGCAATGTCAGTCATTATTTTCTGTTTACTTAATTTCTGTTCTTTTATTGTTCTCGCTCCTTAATAACGTTTTTTTTTTTTTTAATGTTTTATATACTTTCCAACTCGGTAACCCCAAGCATTTTTATGACTTCATTGCCTTGCTTGAGGTGAAATGATTAAAAAAATAACATACTATATTTCTAATAATGCATTTTTTATATAAACTAAAACTTTATTCAGATATTTACATTTTATACCTACAATGCTCAGATGCATATCAGTGATATATTTACTACATATAGTCTCAAAAGACTTATTTTTCCCAAAAAAAAAACATTTGTTACAATTTTTTAAATTTTTTAAATATTGTGTTATTATTATTCATAAAAAATATTTAACATTGAAATAATTTTCTAATAAAATAAAATATTTACATTCTATCTATATTCAATGTTGCCTAATTTTAATTGTAATAAATAAATAATAATTAATCTCCTATCTCTTTAATTTGTATTTCAGGCTAATTTTTGAATTTTGAGGATCTATTGGAAAATTCTCTATCAAATAATATTTTAATTCTATATTTATCTATCTATATATTCAAAAGTATTGTATCTATTTATCTATTTTTCAAAAAAATGATCTATTTCTTTTCAATTTGTAAATTCTATTTTTAAAATTTCCATCAATTTGTATCTCTATCTATCTATCTTCAATCTATTTTTCTTTCAATTATTCTTGATCTTTATTTATTCATGTTCGTTTGTTTTTATCTATCTATCATTTGTCTTCATATTTATTAAAAAATATTCATGTTCTTCTTAAATCAACTATCTAAATTAAAACATTTTTTTGCTCATTTTTTATATATTCTATTTATTCATTTCTTCTATTTTTTATTTCTATCTATCTATCTTCTATCATATCTATAAATGTAATAATTTTATCTTCTATCTATCTAAAAATCTATCTCATTTAAAATTCTTCTATCTATCTATCTATCTTTCTCTATCATATCTATCATATTTAAAATTCAATTTTATCTATCTCAGTAGTTTTATCTATCTATCTATTTTAGTTTCTATTTTATCTATCTATCTCAGTCATCTTTCTATCTATCTATCTTAAATATTTATCTATCATTCTCTATCTATCTATCTAAATTCATTTTAATTATTATAAACAATGTGTTTTTTCTAATTATCTGTCCCA